ACATACTTACATACTTACATACTTACTTACATACATACATACATACTCACATACATACATACATACATACATACATACATACATACAGACAGACAGACAGACAGACAGACAGACAGACAGACAGACAGACAGACATGCATTGATGCGTGCGTTCATGCAGTCATGCATTCATGCATTCATGCATTCATGCATTCATGCATGCGTACGTACATACATGTATGCAGACGTGCATACATTCATACATACATACATACATACATACATACATATGTATGTATGTGAGTATATATATGTATGTATATTTATATATGTATGTTACAATGTATTCATATATATATGTATGTGTATATATATATAGAGAGAGAGAGAGGGAGAGATGTTATGGAGATACATATATATATATGTGTGTATATATATATATATGTACACTATACAGATGCACCAACAATAATGTTACAGGCATATTCCATGGGTCGACCATCCTCCAGATGGTTAGCTCCAGAAAGATGCCCAAGTTTGCTCAGGAGTACCAACAGTGCCGGGGACCACCTTTCCAACTACAATAGGCTTACCATGGAGGGTATGGGGTTTAGGGTTCAGGGCTTACAATAATGCAGCTTCCAGCACTTGACGCCTTTGCAATGACATCCCTTGCGCACCAAGTAGAGGCCGGGAAGAATCTTCAGGATGATGCCCCTATCAACTCCAAACGGCCCAACGGCCAAACCCCAGTCCTAAACCATACCTTGCGAGGTGTCCCATCAGCCGAAGACTCTGTCACCTGGACTCCTCCCGTCCGCACTTCATGGGTCTGTCTCCTTATCAGAAACTTCAGGGTGTTTAGCTTTCGGGGTGGGGTGTAGGGCCTGAGAATGCTTCGGATCTGTCCTACCAAGACCTTCTAATCCTTTAACTAAGGAGTATACTCCAAATCATATTGCGGATCCTGCTATAAGCTAAGGTATATTCCTTTCCTTAATTACGGGATACTGGATTTCTGGGTACAGGTACCCCGGTACCCCCCAATATCGAGCAGTCTGGGGACGAGGGCCTTTTAGGTGATTTGGGGACGACAGAAACAAAGCACAGCTGTGACATGCTTCGGGTACCTCTGCATCTACACACTGTGTAAGCTTGAGGTGTAACTCTACATGGGTAGTTGTCAAAATTATGGTCCCTTTTGGGGTACCCTAAATAATAGGTGCCGTATTATAATAAGGACCCAAAAAGGGACCCTAATTTTGACAACCACCCACATGTATCTGCCCGGCTCCACGTTTCTGTGCGCTTGATGCGTCTGCACATGTTTTTCGCACAGGTGAACATCTCTCCGTATGCCTGCCATCTCTGTCTATCTCTGTCTATCTGTCGCTATCTATCCATCTGTCTATATGCGCATGCATGCATGTGTTAAGGCATGAACGGATATCGGATGACACAGGAGACACGAAGCCTTGAAGTACCAACACCATGCTTGGATCACCCTTCATGGAATCTCGGGACCCCTTGTAGGAACCCTGAACCTGACCAGCACCCGAACTCGCCTTCAGACTTTTTTGGGGTCTTGGAGGGGTGTAATTTGGGGTCTAATTTTAGTTGTAGGGCCATGTTTGCAATAATACCTCCAACAAACTGCGGTTCGAACCAGGAGTGCTTTACAGCTACAGCTCCCAAATACCATTACTGGTCTTCGCAAACCCTGCTACCCAGTCGCATGCACAGGCTGCCTGGCAGCAGCAGCAGCAGCAAGACCTGATATCCGAATGAGGTTTCTGCGTCTGCCGAGTTGCTCTTCCCGACGGCTTAACGAGGTCAGGCCCTAAACCCCAAATCCCATCCTTTCTCCCAAACTCCGCGTCAGTAAGGAGACCCCAAAACAAAAGAATGTAACGGAACTGACACCGAAACCCCTGCAGCAGTCGTGCCTTAAACTCCCATAAACACAACCCTAAACCCCTGAAGCTGTAAGCCCGAGGCTCCCACAGTGTGGAGTTGCATTGTTATGGGGCTTCGAATCCTTGGCGTACGATATGGAGCAGTGGGTAAAGTTCGAGGATGAGATCAATCTGATCATCTAGAAGACATCTTGCTGGAGGCCCAGAAGCCCCTCACATGCAAGCAGAATCCGTAAATCTTGAGCTACACTCTAAACCCTAAACCCTAA